GATGTCAGTGGTTTCCATCTCCTCCTTTAGCCAGCTTATTATCCCAGCAGGGTACCTGATCAGAGCTAGGTGTTGATAGCCTAGATTTTGTTTTTGCCATTCAGCTGACTCCTCAGGACTTGTCTGAACCTCTGCAGGTACTTGGTGTTTGCAGCTTTCATAGTGGCCTCTTCATGGTTCCCATTTGCCCGTGGGATCCCCAGGTACTTGTAGCTGTTTGTTTGTTTGTTTTTTGACAGTAGACCTAACTGCAATTAACTTGTCATACGAGCAAAGGTGTAACAAACAGTATGTCTCCGTTGAGTCCATTAATGTCATGTGGTACACCTGCGATGAGGAAAAAGCCCACAGAGATAAAGGTTGCAAAGAAGGATTAGCAGCTCAATTCATAAGGGGGTCTTGTTAACTGTCCAGCGACAAGGTTTGTAGAAAAGAAATCCTTTAGATCCAACAAATCATTTTACCTTTGCTGTGTTATAAAGAATGTTTCTTTTTTAAAGACTACATTGGAAGGATTTCTTAACATTAATTAGCTTAATTACCTGGGAAAACAGTACTACAGTGCTTTGGTTGAGAACTATTTTCAGACCTGGATTAATACTTTGATTCTTAAGAAGTGTGTAAAGCGTGTGTTTAGCCTGTTTAATGACAAGGCAGTTTGAGAAAGGAAAGACATGCACGAACTCATCCAGGGTGGAATAGACCCGGGCCTTGCAGCACATGGGTCACCTACCAGCACCCAAGTTGAGCCAGATTTCATTCCATTCTGAGAAAAAAAGCAAAAATCATACACTACTATCTGAATTTTTCCCAGAGCACATGTTCCACAGGGTGACGTGGGCAGTGGAATGCAGGGTAATTTGGTGTGTCATGCCCTTCACTTGTGCCATCATTCCCACCAAGCTGGCAGGCGCACTCTTTTCCTTCCCTATTTTCTGTGTTTCTGTTTTCTGCCTGCTTGATTGCAGGATGTGATGAGCGGGGGAAGTCAGACTGCCAGCTGCTTGTCATCATCCTGCTCTGCAATAAATACCTAAATCCAACACTTTGACTGTGAAAACAGTGTATACACAACTGCCAGATCATGCAGTCTCTGTTAGTTTATTGCCCACTCATGTATTCGCATTTACCAACACCTGCTCTTCTCTGTCTGCAGCATTCATCTGCCTAAGCCCCTTCTTATCTCTCTCAGTTCTGAGCTCTCTGTTCTCTGAACTTTTCATACAGCAGTCCTTAGCTGCATTGGTGCCCTGGCCCTGCCTATTGCTTCAACCTCACCGTGACCTGCATTCAAACCCAACTCTCTCCCACCAACAATGAGCAATCTTGCATTCCTGTTCATATCTGTGCTCTGCTTTTGGGTTCATCAACTAGCCCAACTATATGGGCAATTTTAACTCCTGCTGTGGTCATCACATACCTGGATTTATATATATATGGGGTATGCTAGCAAACATACAAAGAAATACCTGCAAAGTGGAAACTGTAGCACCCTGAGGATGGGACAGGAAGAGAAGAACAGACAGCAGCCTGCAGGAGGGGAAAGAAAGGATAGGGAAAGCAAGGTGGGAGCAGGAGGGAAAAGAAAAGGACAAAAGAAAAGGACAGGTGGTAGAAGAGGACAGGGGAAGGAGAGGAGGGGTTACCGGTATTCCTGCAGACATGGCTGACAGTAGTTTTTGTCTCCATCTGTCCTTCCCTGTCACTGTCCCGTCCTCCTGCTTTGCTGGCTGAAAGACAGGGGGGACAAGTTACAGACACACAGACAGACAGACAGATACACAGACAGACAGACACACCCACTATCACTCAAAAGCTTGGAGAATGTTTTTCTCTTTGCACATAAAGCATATTTGTTTATATAAAATATAACATATTTATTTAAGTCGCATCGATTTACAACAATTCTATTAATTATGAATCACACCTCCTTTTTAATGGACCATCTGTGTAGGTGTACAGAGGCACACTTTCAGCAACAAGCATTCCTGTACTCCACATTATATTACCTTATACAAGTTTGTTAAACGTCTAAAAAAAACAAACAAAAAAAACCCCATGAAGGACCTAAAGACTCTGATAAAGTCAGGGTTGGGTACCAAACTGCACTTTTTATGTTACTGATTTAATTATCTACTGAAAACCAACTCACACTAAATCATTCGGTGCCAAATTTTAGGTAAGCGTAAGAAAGAGCATGACTATTACTAACTATCACTCAAGTTAACCAAAAGATCTCTCAGGTGTGGTTACGCTTTCAAAAAAAAACTTTTTTTTTTTTTTAAATTGCGCGACGATTGCTCTATGTAACATTTGCAGAGGAAAATGAAGGAAAAAAATGGCAACACATCAAATCTGAGGAAACACCTGGTCAAACACAAAGTGCATTGGTTCTGAAGAGTGTCCCATATTTGATTGGCTGAAAGCCACCGAAGGACCTGCAGCTAACTTTCGCAAGTCTTTCGCCAACGTATAAGAAGTTGAACCCATTGATGGTGAGGAATCTTTAAGTGGCACACTAACAGCTCTATCAATTTCTTCATTGTGGTTGTGGGTCAGGGGGTAGAGTGGTTCATCTACTAATCAGAAGGTTGGGGGGGGTTCCTGGCTGCTCCAGCCTGCATGCCAAAGTATCTGTGGGCAAGATACTAAATCCTGAGTTGCAACCATATATGATCAGCTCCCAGGAAGATCTTTCAAGTTTTTCTATTTTTCTTCCCTAATCAATTTTGGGATGGTGTAATGGTGATCCTGTGTCATGTGAACCAGTTCCCTGCTTCCCTCTGGCAGCAGCAGGCAGCCATCTGTTACCACTGCAAAAGTATGTGGGCCAACAGGACTCAGTGTGATTGACCTGGTTTACACAGAGAATCTAGATCACTCCCAGTCATGAGATAATCTTGGACATGTTGAAAACCAAACCATTAGGCTCATTAGTAACCATCACCAACATGCACTACAGTATTTTCCCGTGTAAATCAATGAGGGATGAGCATTACTGTGCAATACCTTTCCGTTTATATTACTGACAGGAATAGGAATGGAATGGGTGAAAGGAAATTTATTTCCTTCATATTTGATTATGTATACAGATCACTGAATTTGAAAAACATGACTTGTTACCATAACACGTTCCTATAGTAAGCACTTTAATAGTATAGCTTTGTTTTCTTTGCCTTCCTACCTCATTCTTTTTCTTCTTTTTCTTATTGTTCTGCTTCTTCTGTCTTTTCTGCAGGAGGACGGTCTCATATTTTGGCCTGGGGTGTTCCTGAAAGAAAACAGGAGTGAGAAGGAGTTAGGTTCTGGTCATTCTATCTGACTCTCATGTGGGCATCTATGTGTATGCCATATGTACATTCCAGGCTAGTGTGGGATTAGCATTAGATGATAATGTGCCAATGTTAAGTGTCACTGCAGGAGGAGGTAGTGTGGCCACACGCAGATTGTAGGAGTGAAACTGGTTAAGAAAAGAGAAAAAACCTCTGCCAATCTGAATGTTCAGAAATTTTTCTGCTAATTCTGTAGGTTTGATGTGTTTATGTTTGCACTTTAGAAAGCATTTACCTCATCCTCCTCGATGCCTGTCAAGTCCCAGCTGAAGCTCAGACTGATCTGACGTCGCTTCCACTGTTCCAGAAATAGCACCGCTGCACGATCACACAAACAAGGAACTTTAATAAAGGTTACAGTATCGTAAATCTCCAATTGCAAGTTTCCAACTGCATCATATGACTTAAAAGTTGACCCTAAGTTTTTATTGTAGAGTTGACTAAACTACTTCTTTTTCAATTGCTTCAACGACATAGAGGGCAAGCAAGAAAGCAAGAGAGAAATAATGCATTTGTCCCCTAATTGCTCTTTGTAGGTGACTTGGTGTAATTTTAATTTACAGCTGCCCAACCTGAGCTGTTCCTATGACTTATTTGTAACATATATACTCATTTCTAATCGTGTCAATTCTGGTCATTGCCAATGAAGGATTTAACATCTTCCACCTCCCATCTTGCCTTTGTACCAGTCTCCAAACCAGACATAGTAACTCTCACTACTGTCCTGCAAACCTTTGCTTTCACACTTGCTGCTAATCCTGCTATCAACAAAATCACCTATTCACCTCTCATGTGCTGTATGTTGCTTTGGATAGCTGCCAACAGATGTTTAACTCATCTATCTTCAAAACATCTGCCGAGTGCAGCTTCACTCTTACACCCGTCACCCTCTCTTTCACACAAACTTATTCTGTCTTGTTTCCAGGGACTTGTCCTTTTCTCTCCACTGTATACCTCCACCTCTCCTGGCTCTCTTCCACCTGCTTCCTACTCTCACTACAGATCGTAATGTCATCTGTGAAAATGACACCCCACAGAGACTCCTGCCTGACCTCATTAATCAGCCTGTCCATTACTAGTGCAAACAAGAAGCCGATCCCTGATTAATCCCACTCAAAGCTCAAACATATGTCAATCCTACCACATACCTCACAGCTGTCTTACCATCTTCATACATGTCATCTACCAGCACTCTCACCCTGTCACTCCTTCCTCATACAGTACAACAGTTCAGCACTGGGCACCCTCTCATATGCTTTATCTAGACCATCAAAGACACAGTGCAGCTCCTTCTGACAGTCTCTATACTTTTCCATCAACACCCAAACATCACATCTGTAGTTCTCTTTCTCAGCACGAAGCCACACTGCTGCTCATTGATTGTCACCTCTCTTCTTAACCCAGCTTCAGCAACTCTTTCCCACAGCTTCATGGTGTGGCTCGTTAACTTTATCCCTCTGTATCTACTATGGCAGCGGTCCCCGACCCCCGGGCCACGGACCAGTACCGGTCCGTGAGTCGTTTGGTATCGAGCTGCGAGAGTTGAGGCTCGGGTGTGAAATTTATGGTTCTCAGGGTTTTTATAGTTTTTTTTATCATTATTTTTTTTATTGTTTTTATCGTTAACTCCGTTTCCCTGGGTCTTTTCCCATGTGTTATGCATAAATCTTCTTTTTGGTACCGTTACTGGTTTTATTTTGTTGTATTTATCCGCAACACCTTAGAGGCCAGTCTGTGAAAATATTGTTGGGCATTAAACCAGTGCATGGCGCAAGAAACGTTGGGGATCGCTGTACTATAGCTCTGCACATCAGCCATTTCTTCTCCATTCCTCAGTCATGCTCTCACTCTCCAAGATTGTGTCTGGTTACAAAGCCCACTGCCCTCTCTCCTACACATCTTTATACCACCACAGGTCTGCCACCTGAACCATCCACCTTCCTAATCTTCATCCTCTTCATAGCTGTCCTCACTTCCTCCTTACTAATCTTCTGCACTTCTTAATACACCATTTATCCTCCTCTGTCATGTTCTTTACATTCATGAGCTCCGTCCATCTTCTCAGCATACTCTATTCAGTCATTAGTAGAATTCCATCTCTATCCTTAACCACTCTAACCTGCTGCTCCTTCCTTAGTGTTCAGCCTCATGTAAATTTATACAGATTCTCTCAGGACATAAAATTCAGGTCATAAGATACAGTCCCAATCAAAAGTTTAGGACCACATGCCTTTAAAAGGCCAAATCTGTGCAAAAATGTGGATTGTGCGCTGCTAGAGACCCTGCTTATGCAGTTCAGCAACCCGACCCCGTTCAAAAAGGGAACATTTTGCCTTTGCCATCAGAACATGACAGTGTGACTACCGGACAGAAAATGACAATGAATCCACATTTTTGCACAGATTTGGCCTTTTAAAGGCATGGTGTCCTAAACTTTTGATCAGCTGTAAAACAGTCTGTTTCAGTTTAAGCATTGTTTTCAGTAAATTGCATGCTCAAAAAAATGTTTTGTCTCACTCCCATTTCTTCTTGTTGCATGTTGAAACTCTACTTGGAACCTTGTTAAGATCCAACCATGCCAAATATGGTTTTTGGCCATTTTTCAAGTGGTCTTAAACTTTTGATCGGGACTGTATCTCTGAGCATTTTCATAACCAGCCCACCTGTCATCTCGGTATGCATATGCACAAACACATAACCTTACCCCATAGAGACATGAAGATGGCAAAGAAGACAGTGGCAGGGTTATCGAAGAGGTGTGAAGCTTTGGCGGTTCCACAGGCAGTGCTGAGATGCCAGAAGTCACATGCTCGGTCACACAGAGGACACATGGTGAAATTGAGACGCTGGTCACACATCTCCAGACTGAAGAAGAGGGGGGAAAAAATATGAAGTCTAGAGTGCCCACCATTATATAACACGTGGTGTAGTGTTAATGTTTATGACTATAAGATTAACCGAGGCTCCATATTTCTGTCTGTGGATTCACTCTCACCTAAAAAGGCGCATGGATCTTTGGGTCTGTTACATTTAACCACAATAAATGAATGGAACTTTTAACACATAACCACAACACAAGCTTTTCTACTTTGACCCTATTCATACTTGGTGTAGGCTGAATTATCAGCCTTCCACTTCATCACACACACACAGAGCCAGCTGAGCCTTTTGTGCGCCACCCACACAACCCTGACTAAAGCCAGATACAGCAGGTATCTGGGCAATCCCTGTCTAGTAAATGTGTGTATGGGCATATGTGCATGCAATGGCAGGAACAAATCCTTATTTTCTGCATTATGCTAGAATCAGTATTTTAGGGAACATCTCATTCCATAACCACTTTTTACAGTGTGGGATTGTACAATGATTTTCTCTCTCAAATGAAACTGCAACAGTAAAACTAGAGATTTTTGCAGTGGATTTCTAATGTACCTTGGTATATTAGTGTCCATTGTCGCCACTCCATAGCCAAACACAATGATACCCACTATGGAAGCTGGTACAAGCAGCTGGGTGTACACGCCGAGCCATGCAAAGTAAAGGCCGATCTTCTCACCAAAGTACTTCCTGTGGGTAAGGAATAATGCAGTTCATGGTTAGGGCACAGCAGACTGAATTAGTATGTAAAACAGGTGTAAGGATCCTGATGCTGTGTTTGACCCCAAAATAGATTAAGAGGGCTAATGCTCTTATTATTTAGGGTGTTTCCTACCTCTGCAAAGCCTTTAATAGTTGCTTCTTAAAGACTGGTGTACAAATTCTGCCTGAGCAAGATCTAAAGACTCCAACATGGACTTAATTAACCTTAACAATGGATAAATCTGTGCTACTTACTGCAGAGAGTAATCAAAATAGTATAATTAGTTACACTATTTAGTTATACTATTTAGAAGTACAAATCAACAGAATATATAGTAAATAGCAGCATCAAGTTTTTATGATTGTTAGAGGTGTATTACCACAAAGCAAATGTGTCCACATGTAATGAGATAAGCAACATTCTTCATTCTGTGTAATTTTGCTGAGTCAATAATTGTGTCAGTACATAGTATTTTAGCCCTCAGCCTACTCTATTGGGTGTTCTATTGGATTTAGGTCAGGCGAGCACGGGGGTCATTGAATGGTATCAGTTTCTTCATATTCAAGCAACTGCCTGCATTCTCTCACCATATGAAGCCGAGCACTAGGTGAAACCCGTCAGAGTAGGGTCTGACGGCAGGCCGAAGGATTTCATCCCCATATCTACTGGCAGTCAGGGTGCCAACACCCAGCATGTCGAGGTCTGTGGATATCCCTCCATGGATATATGCCTCCCCAGACCATCACTGACCACCACCAAACAGGGCATACTAAATGAGCTTGCATGCAGCATTACATTCTCCACAGCTTCTACAAACCCACGACTGTCACAGGTGCTTGGGGTGAACCTGCTCTCATCTATGAAAAGCACAGGGTGCAAGTAGTGGACCTGCTATGACTGGTGTTCTATGGTAAATGTCAAATGGGCTCCACAGTGCCAGGTAGTGAGCACAAGGGACATCGGGCCTTCAGGCCACCTGTATGAAGTCTGCTGGAGGTCATTTTGTAGCTCTGGTAGTTCTTATCCTGTTCCTCCTTGAGCACATACCAGTCCTGCTAATGGGTACAGCCCTGTCCAGCTCTCCTAGAGCAACTTCTGTGCTCCTAGAATCTCCTCTATGTTCTTGAGTCTGTCAATATTGGGTCAGGCTGAGATATAAAATTTGGAGTAGTAACAAATATAAATTCTTGATTTGTCAGTCTTACAAGGTGGTTTGGTTAGTAAGGAATCATTCATGACCAGTATACACATGGTGACTAGTAACGCCAAAGAACAAATGGGCATGTGAATATCTTAAGAACCATTTCACTAGCTGGCCGACATTCTTATTTTAGGTTTGACAGCATTTTTTAGTAGATAAAGGTGAATGGCATAAACATGAACTGAGCTGCTGTTTGGGGAAGGGCTCTGAGGGGACTGGCGGCGGCTCCCGTGCCTGGCAGGTCCCCATGTACATCTTTCACTAATCATGTATGGCAGAGTCATATTAAATTAAAAGAAAAACTGAGGTCTTTGTGTTGATGCTGTGGTTACTTTACCTGACTAGATCAATGGGTTGGTACTTGTAAAAGGCTGAGTATCTAGCCCACTCTTCATGCAGAACCTGACAGACAAGACAAAGCAATAGAGAGAAAGGGAGAGGGAGAGAGAGAGAGAAAGAGAGAGAGAGAGAGAGAGGGAGAGAGAGAGAGAGAGAGAGAGAGAGAGAGAGAGAGAGAGAGAGAGAGAGAGAGAGAGAGAGAGAGGGAGAGAGAGAGAGAGAGTCAGTGTGGGCGTATTTTGTCATGTTGTAAGTTGAAAATGATTCTCAGAGGTAGAGCTCATCTGTAGGCAGTAACATTCTGATTGGCCGAATTAAACCTCAGTGGATGAAGCCAACAAGCTGCAGTATAAGTAACATTATCCTGCAGCCAAGTGAAATGCAGTAAGAGAGGAGGAAAACCGCATTATGAAGCCTGGTGCTCCTCGTGCTTAAAAGATAAAAATCTAACAAGGTATGTGGTTGAACTAGAACATGTTACAAAAACTGGAGTAAACACAAGGATAAAGACTAATCCTCTCAATTTTCACATTTCAATTTTCTATTAATATTTTGCTTTGAAATTTGAGTCGGATCCTGGTTTTTTTGCACTTTGAGAGGAGTTTTGTAAACATGTTAGATGTTGGAAAAAAATCAAATTAAATATGAGATGAGGATGGCAAACTAAAGCTCAGTTGTTCAGAAAAGTGGAGGTCCCTTTTTGAGTTGCTGGGAGTTAACATGTTTTGGACAGCTGACTTGATCGAGACAATTCAGTTTTCATAGCTGTACCACATCACTTAAAGGAACAAAGGGGGTGACAGGAATGAAAGGCTGAGTCAACGCACCTGTCTGTCGTTCCTCTCCTCCAGGTGTCCGATGACCTTGTAGTCACCCTGAGCAGTGAGAAGAGAGGATGAAAAGCATGAGTGCACACAGGCGCACGACAACAGGCAGCACAGTGCACTTGTGGAAAACATGTAGAAATACAGAAATTAAAAACACTCGAAATACAGTATTTGAAGTTGTTAAGAGCAGATAATGTGGTAAGAGGAGGTTGTCTGAAGTGTTAATATCAATCAAGTTAGATGTCAGAGTTGTTGTCAGTTTTATAGCTGGTTAAACCACGGGGCCATGCCAGTGTATATCTTTAATTTAGAGCCAAAGACTGTTCAGAAACTGAAATTATCATTTTAGGTCAGAGAAGGCATATGATAGACTCCAATTTGTTCATTTAAATGGATTTTTCTACACACTAAGGTTAAATATGTAGATCCACAGGGTTCTATGCTGGACCAATTCTATTACACATGCTTCCCTTAGGCAGCATAATTCGACATACATTTTCATTTCTATGCAGATGAAACTCAGCTAATTGGTGTGTATCATTTACTTTCATAGATCCCCTGAGCTGTCTTAAAGAAAAAGACTGGATAACCTCTAATTTACTGCTTCCAAAATCAGATCAAACTGGGGTTATTCGACTCACTCCTAAGGATCTTAGAAATCTGGTGGCCGCTTAGCCTCATTACCTTGGGTTCAAGTATCACCGTAAGGAATCTATTATATTAAACAAATATTTAGGACTTCTTTCCTCCATTTGTGCAATCGCTTAAAAAATAGAAATATCCTGTCTAAGAGTGATGCTGAAAAACTATTCCATGCATTTATTTGTTCTAGGAAAAATGATCCAACGTGCTGCAGCCAGAGTACTGACAGGGACTACAAACAGCTTTTTCACCATACTGGTTCCTCTTCAATCACTGTTAAAGCTGGGATTATATTTAAAATCCTTGTCCTCACAAACAAGGACTTAAATAATCAGGCCCCAGTAGAGCACTTTGCTCTCAGATTTCCTTCTGGTTCCTAGGATATTTAAAAGTGGAATGACAGGCAGAGTCTTCAGGCCCCTCTTCTGTGGAACCAGCTGCCAGCTTGAACTTAAAAGCAGAGAGAGTGTCTTCTACGTTCAGGCTTAAAACTTTCCCTCTTGTTAAAGCTTAGCTGGGGCTGGATCAGGTGATCCTGTATTTAGTGTAACTAAACACTACAATAGACACGGCTTGCTGGGGCTTTCCATGATTCACTTAGCAATTCTTTCTCACTCACTTGTTTTTGCCTCAGCATTTAATTATCAGATATTCAATTCTGGCTCTCTTCCTCAGTACATGTTTTGTCCAATTTCCTTCCACTCACCCTCAACCTGTCACAGCAGATAGCTGCCCCTCCCATAGCCTGGTTCTGCTGAAGAGTTCTTCCTTCCCTTCTTGATACATGTTCAATCATCCAGGTAAGTAAATCTCCAAAAGTTGATTCTGTTCATCTGGACGTAGTGTTTTGTGGAAGAAACGTTTCGTCACTCATCCAAGTGACTTCTTCAGTCTGCAGTCAGCTGAGTCTGAAGAAGTCACTTGGATGAGTGACGAAACGTTTCTTCCACAAAACGCTACGTCCAGATGAACAGAATCAACTTTTGGAGACTTCCTTCCCACCGTCGCAAAGTGCTAGCTTAAAGGGGGTCATATGTTTATTGGGCTTTTCTCTCTGTCATTGTAGGGTCTTTACAATACAAAGTGCCTTGAAGCGACTGTTGTTGTCATTTGGTGCTGTTTAAATAAAACTGAATTGAATTATCACACACAAAATATAATTAGATAATCAAAAATTAACACAGAACAGGTAATTCTTCCTTATATGTACCCGTTAATTTCAAAATACTAGTCAGTATTTTGCTAAGTCATTTGTCAGAGTGTAAGATTTCTACTCCAAGAATGTTTCCACTCACTGAAAATTGAAATCTAGTAAAACACATTAAAACCATCAGCGTCTCAGGGGACTTTGCACTTACATCGTGAAGAGGGAAGGCAGCGTCATACACGCCTTTAGCTATCAATGTGCTGATGCCTGAAAGAGAGAGAGCAGAGACGTGAGACAACCCCAAGAGAGTTTGAGTGTCATTTATGAGGGGTTTCCTTTTCCTGCTAAGCATCGTGAATTGCATCCTCTGAAAAGACGACAGTTTTTACTTGCATTGAAAGAGCAAGTGAGGTTTCAACCAGAAACTCAAACAGCTGGCAGGGCTTTTAAAAAAAAGAAGTGTTTGAGGCATTTTTTATTGAAAAAGAATTAAGGATTGAGGTTAAAATAACTGTTCCAGGCTAAGGGGAAATTAATTTTTAGACAATGTAAAAAAGCACCTCCTTTTATTTATCCAATATCCAGCAATCCATACTTGTGATTCGATTTTTTTAAGGATTTGTTGAATCAATCCCAAAAGGATAAAGGATAAAAGAAAAATGGTTCTTTCCCTACACGTATTGTATAGCCTGTACCATTTTAAAAAGTCTGGTTTTCAGTGTCAGACAGACTGGTTCTGTCTTTTGCCCTTGAAAGTTTTCACACGTTAAATCGCGGCTTGCCCGTTACCTGTCAATGTCAGGGGTGGACGCTGATGCATGACATGACGCGGCATACACAACCACCTCTGCCATCAAACTAACTAATCAATTATCAGTGCCTCAAAGGGGACACGGACCTATGCAGCGATTAGCTGTGCTATTAATGAACATCACGACCAACACACATACACCTACGCATGAATGCTCACTCAACCAGCCAGAAACAACCACAACTCCCAGTGGCCCCTGCTTCAATCTCAGCCTGACCTGGGAAGTATGACCCACTTGTAGAAGAGATGGAGTAAAGCAACAGAGACACAGAGAGGGAGAGTGTGTGTGTGGGGATTGTGTGAGCCTGGGGGGGGGGGAGAATAGAGGTTAAAAAGATGCAACTCTATTTTTCTCGTCCCTTTTTGCCCTACAGCTTCATTAGTGCCCGCTGGCTGAGACCTTCTGCTGTGATAGGCAAGCCAACCAGACATATGGTGGACATTAGAAATGAAACTGGGATCAGCATATCTATATGGGTCTGATGGGCATTAGTGCGACGGGCAGATGCAACCATAATCTGCGTCTAATTAAATGCTATAGTTATATAAACAGGAAAGAGCTGCACTAACAAGGAATCAGGGGATACCTGATACCATGCAGTTCTTTCATGTCTCATGCAGACAAACAGTGGTGGATATATTTTAATGGAAATTCCAATGAAAGTACAATAAAGCCTTTAAGACAGCCGTCATCTGCGTGCCTTGCATGTTTATTTTCTAGATTACCTCAACAAATTATGGGTCACGCACAATTGCACAAACAAAGAGTGCGGCTGAACATATTGACTTAGCTGCTGAATGTCCCTATGGGTGTCTATGGTTAAAGGAAATGTTATTGAGCAGCCTTTCTAGGAACGGCCTGGTGGGAATAGGTTGTTGGGAAAATGATCTCTGTGTCATCCAACTATGCAGCACAGCACTCATTGTTTAGACAACCACTTGAACGTCACTTTATCTCTCTAGTGCACAAACAGCTTGCATGGCTCTGCGTCCTTCTAGTACCTTCTTCTTCCTAAACTAAGAATTATTGCTGTATAACATTTAACTACAATTCTATAGTTTTACCTTTAATGCTTCACAACAGAGAACAAGACAATGAGATGCTCGGTGTTATTTAGTTTATCATCATTGACTCAAATAAATGTTGCCTGATTGCTACACCCTGTTTGAAGGGTGCTATAAAACGGGTGTAGTCAGTGAGGTAACAGCAGTATTGTATACGTATTGTAGACAGATCTAAGTAGCTTGGAAAGAAAAGCCAGTGGATTTCTTTAGGTTTCTTGAAGATGTTTCACCTTCATCAGAGAAGCTTCTTCATTTCTAAGACCAAATGGTGGAGTATTTAATCCCTAGTGGGAGTGTCCCTTAAGAGGGCGGTTGACCCGCTATTGATTATAATGGATTGGATTTATATAGCGCTTTTCAAGGCACCCAAAGTGCTTTACAATGCCACTATTCATTCACTCTCGCATTCACACACTGGTGGAGGCCACAGCTGCCCTGGGGCAGACTGACAGAAGCAAGGCTGCCATATCGCGCCATGAATGCCTCTCTGGGTAAAGTGTCTTGCCCAAGGACACAACGACCAACGACCAGGACAGAGAGCCCGGGGATCGAACCGGCGGTTTTCCCAACCCCCTGAGCCACGGTCGCCCCATTATGTGCCTCATCACATGAGCCAAGGTGTGAAAAAGGGTGTAGGTCATTATCAGCAGAGTTTTCAGGTGAAACTATTGTGAGACCTTGGCTCACCCAATCATGTGACCTATTGAGATTAAGTCACAGAAGATGTGAGTGGGCGTTGAGGTGTCTGGGGAGGGATCTCAAAACTGGCTTGTAAGTTGGCAGACAGTTGGTGTTGTAAGCCACCCCAAAGTGGACAATGACAAGGCAATGTTGTTTCATTTGTCATTCTGCTTCTTCCTAGTTGGTGTCTGACCTTTATCCTGTGCATCTTTAAACAGGTGGTTATCCCAATTCATCAAATCTGTAAAGAGCTTTCTTTACATGTGTGTGTTCCTTTTCTTTCCATTCTGGCTTACAGGGAATGTTTTCAGCCCGGTGTTCTTGGGTTCTGATTACTCCAATGTTGTGTTCCAGAGGGTGGAGTCAAAGAGTGGGTACTGATATGTGTGTGGGCTTCTGGTAAACTTCCAATGTTGAGGTTTCCATTCTCCTCAATGTGCACAGCACAGTCCAGAAATGGCAAACTATTATCCTTCTTGTCTTCCCTGGTGAGCTTCATGTTTCTATCCACTGAATTGAGGTGAACAGTGTAGGCTTCTACTTCTTGGGTTTTGATTTTGACCCAGGTGTCATCCACATATCTGCAGCAGTAGAAGCTTACAGAAAGTCCAGTCACGTTTCTTCCGAGTGCCTTAGATTACCATGATCTGGATGACTGAGAACCTACACATCCATATTGAATGCAAACATATTTTGAAGCAGGGTTTTATTTTCATAGGCTCTGGTGTAGACCAGTGGTTTAGAGGTTTTTATGGCACACCAAAGAGCAAAGCAAAATTTCCAGCAACACCTGTTTTTATATCTGCAGAAGAGAGTGTTTATGTCATCTGGAACACCAGATCCTTTTGCATTAAAAAAAAAGCTTGACACTATGCTAGCAAATGATAAATTCACATAAACCTTCCTCAAGACATACCAGTGTGTCTCTCCACACCATCTGGTAAGAAGCACTGGTGTAGAAATAATCTAAAATGAGTTCGTTCTGGGAGTAACCAATGGCTGACCAAATTTCAGGAGGCTGGGAAGGATATGCTTGGAGGAGTGTTGCTGCTTTCCAGCACAGGTGAATGAGATCAATTATACTGCAAACTATTTTAGACTAGCAACATGACAATTAAAAAAAATGAGTGAATAACTTCGTGACTTCTATTAGACACTGATGCCTTCAGCAAACCACTTGAGATCTGCTATTGGAGTCTATTGGAATACACATTTAAACACTGATAAAGCAGAGGCACAGCAAACTTCTAATTAAATGCTTTGTACCCTCACCTATGGTTTGACAGGTTCGTGCACACACCGTCCGTCTCAGGATCTCATAAACCTGTGGAACAATTCAGCTTGTTAGACTGGAAAAATTGACTAATCTTGAAAAAATATGATACAAGAGGTAGTGATGTAAACATAGAGACTTACTATTCTGCCCCTTGTAGAATTGTCAAAGAAAGTGTCTTTAGATGTGATGTTGTACCTGAAGGAAACACAACCAATGAACACTATGGTACACTATGGCAGGGCTGCTAAGGTTTTTGCAAAACATAGTCTTTTCAACTTCAAGCACAAAATACACCTGCAACAACACCAAACAGGTGGCTGTGCGTTACAATTTTGTGGTTTAAAAAAACAAAACAAGTGTAGTGACTTTTTTTTCCACAATAAATGATTTGACATCATTTGTTGTTTAGGTTAATAGAAGGTTGTGACTATAGCATCCATAGTCAGATCCAACTAAGGACCAGCCCTGGCACCAGACAGTTGTTTTTCTTATCATTACTTAGTCTTATTTTATACTGAAACCATAAAATAAGGCTCTATAGAAAATAAATCTGTGTTCATATTTATCTCACAAGTGTAGCTTGTCCCTGGAGAAGCAGTGTGAAAGAAATTTGGTGCGTCCATGATCTTGATGTGGTACTTTCGGCTGGAAAGGCTTGGTCAGCGTTCTCCACACTGTGCTCATACTGGAGCCGAAACCAGTTTCCTCTTTGATTTCATAACTCTGGGGTAACCAAAACATACAGAGTTAACCATGTTACTACCTGTTAGATACACACATCCAAAGAACTTAACACTGTCTGAGAATTAAAGACCTAACACTGAGTGGTACTGCAGTAATAACCCCACATGTAAATATAATTATGGGTATGACCGTCTCTGTACTTTTCACTGAATTTAAAAAAAAAACTGGCATACCAAAGTCTTAGACTTATTTCTTAAAATGTTACAACCCTTAAGTTTATTGCAATAGCCATTATACTTAAAATAACTACAAAGACACAATATCAACTTCAGCTGTTTGCTAACCCAACAAGAAACTGCTGCAGTGAGGTACTCTGATCTTACCGTCTTGGTGGGGACTCTAATCTTGAGAAACTCGGCCTCTCGACATAATACTGGCCATGGTGCGTGGACTCTGGTAAAGCTGGGGCCATGGCTCTTTAACTGAAAAAACAAAAAAAATCAGTTGTGTTTATGTAAGCAGTTTGGGAAATTAAACATGCTAATCAGATGCAAACACAGTTTTGATTAGCAATGATTCACTGTTTACAAGTACTTACCATGACTGAGCTTGTTTTCTACCAATAATGCTTTATTGCCCTCAACTTTTTATGCTCGGGGAAATGTATCAGCAGACTGCTTGGCTGACAGTACCTGCTGTTTAAAAATGCTTACCAGACCATCTGCCAATACTGCTTTGCAATCCAATACAGCAGACTTTGTTTTAGCAGGAGAGACCTAAATACATTCTGCTCCTCACTTGATATTTTCGCTTCTCAGTGCTTTTTCCCTTGAGGCCTTACAGTTGACATCTGCAAGGGCCAACTCAACATTTTGCATTCAACACGGAGTTTTCTTTGAAATCCAAGCCAGGTGCAACCAATCCTTGCCATCATTCTGACCTACAGAAAAGCTTTGGCTAGCCTGTTTAGCCAGCAGCATTCCTCTGACATCTATTAAAGATAGATGTGTCCTGTGCTCCTACAGCAAAGCCTGGAGCCGTTTGGTGCAGAATGTTCCTAACACATTGGAGGTTTGTTTTTTGTGTTTTTACCTCCAACTTCAAATGTAACATATTAATTGTGTGTAAGATGAAATTCTGACTCATCTAGCTGCTAATGAATCATGTTCCAGTGCCCACACGGTAATTAGTATATTAATATTAATATGCATTAGCAAAATTTGATAATTGGTTGCTTCAAATAGCACCGAGAGATACATGATTGAATTTCTGAATACGAGCGCAATGACAAAACTTCTTCTGGATTCCTGTGGCTGAATATAAATAGAAAGTATAAGTGAAGCAACACATTTCCAAGAAATTTGTTCCAAAAATAAATTCAAAAAATTGTTTCCAGCAGGCCTGATGGACCTGGTTTTTAGTGTGAGTGAGAGTGTAAATGAAATGAAAGCGGAGCCAGTGGGGGATGACAGCCAGGTAACCTTACCCTCCTTAGACCCCCCCATTAGGTTCTGCAAGAGGGGGGAAGTGAAAAGAGAAAGGTGGTATGGCAAATGACAGAAACCTGAAACTATTCCCTTTCTCCTCTCGACTCCTACTCTCCTGAGATCTTTCACTCCCCCTCACCACCCTCCCCTCCTCACATATATTACTGTAGCTTGTGCTGCCCGCTAGACACTGTTTCACTGACTGATTGACTGCCTCACTGTCACTCTTACTGCTCTTATTTCATTATCATCTCTCTCCCTCTGTCACATCCACACAGACTTTAGTCCCACACATCGCATACAGCTGAATGCGAAGGCACCTGAGATTCACCTCGCTTTAATAAGATGTATTTGTTATAAATAATCCATATGCGCGCGCACACACAAACAAAATGTACTTTTACCATTTACAGATGACCAAAAGAAACTAAAAGTAAATTAATTAGTGAGTAAATTATCTCACTAAAGTACGAGGAGACTGAGTTGAATGGGAAATTGAAGTGCTTTCACCTTGTTGCTGTCCTGTTACACACTGATCTGTCACATCACAGTATGTTTATGTGTCATGGCAAAAAGCTTACATTTCTGAGGACTTGAGAGGTTGTTTATGCTTATCAGACTATAAAAGGGTTACATAATTCACCCCAAACAGGCAGATAATGTAAAAAATTAAGGAAATCGAAGACCACTACCACTCTCCTCACGGGTGGTTGATCAACAAAGATCATTCCACGAGTAAGAGGTGTTAAAGTCCAGAGCAACGTCTAATCAAGCAAAAGCCTGCAACTACAACTGGTCTACTGTTTTAGGTTTATGAGTCCATCACCAGGAGATCACTGAATGCGTGGTGTGCATGGCAGGATTAAAACAAAGAAGGAAAAGGACATTGCTGCCCATCTGCAGTTTGTGAAAGATCACATGGATGAGCCAGATGGCTGCTTAAACAATGACTGTTATTGGGATGAATGAGACCAAAATAGAAGTTTTTGTTTTAATGAGAAGTTTTATGTTCAGATAAAGGGAGCTACTCCACTGCAGGACAACTGTGTTATCACACCAGTGAAACATGGTCTCATGGTCAACTAAAATTATTTGACACCAGACACAGTTTTTCCTTCTAGCAGATATTAGATCCTTTTCCTCAAAAACAAAATCACAAAGTCATATCGTACTTTTTTTGGAGAGGAGATTTTTTTTGTCTCCTTTCTTTAATCAGATACTCTGCATGTGTGTAGACCACATTTGTGCAACACTGAAAAATACTATAGACCTCACAGAGTTTCAAGAAACCCCTGAGCATTAGGTGAATATCCTAAGAGACACATGTTATACAATCTGCAGTGCCTGGCCTATATTTGTGGGCATTTCTTGATTTATATTTCAGTTCCTTTTCCTTTGATACTCCCACAATTCATCTAATCATTTCAGGAAAGTTTTCTTTTCTTGTCTAAATCAAAATTTAGATTCATGACAATATTCATAGTACTAAAAGTAAAAAAATGTAAACACTTCTGGCGTAATCAACTGTAATCCTTGTCATAAGTACCATTGATAGAACCGTTGAACTCTACTGCCTGTGTTATTGTTCGATAAAGTTTTTTACAAAATTAGACTACACGTATCCAGAGACTACATTTCCCCCGAGGTCCCTCTGCACCCCCAAGGGTTTACCCTCACCCCTTTCCCCATCTGCCATCATCAAAGACGCAGACACTTCAGTCAATTTAGGACAAAACAATCCAGCAGGTTTCACTCCACACTGACCTGGTTTTTCTGTGTTTGTCAAGCAGCAAACTGATGGCTGAAAATTTTGCAACCTTACAATGGACTGACCATCTGCCACAAAACGGAGAAATAAGCAATGCCTCTCGACTTGCTCCTTTGAAATTTTTTGTAGCCCCTCTCACCAGTATTCTCTTTCACCTGCTTAATCAACATTTATCATCTTTCTCTCAATCCTTTCCTCCCTCTTCCTCCTCCTCAACCTCTCTTCCCATTGCTATCGCTCCATCAAAAAGCAGATGATATAAATACCTTTTAGCCTGGAGAAGGTTAATTAGTAGAGCGATTTCCAATTAGCTCTTTATCTCTGTTGGGGGCGTAACTAGGCCGCAGCCGGGGGCGTCTTTGGGTAGGAGGGTGGTGGGTTATGAGAGGGTGATCAGGTGGGTGATGGGATGGCTGGGAAGAAAAGTATAGCAGGAAGTGGAGAGAAATCAAGAGAGATGAGGGGGGACTGGTTGAGTGAGATAAATGAAGAAAATACAACAAACTGAACCATGGGAAACATGGGCATAGGCGAAATTCCAAGATTGGAATTTGGAGGCAATGCTGGAGGTGGCAGAGTTAAAGATGTTAACATTTTCATCAGGAGTGACAGTATGGACAAGATAGAATGAGTACTTCAAAGGGAGTGCTCAGGTTGAGAGAAAATGTTAGAGAGGCAAAGCTGAGATGTTGGACAGGTGTAGAGAAGGGATATTGTGGATACACTGAACAAAGGATGTTGAATATGGAGCTGCCAGAGAGGAGGTAAAGAGTAAGACTTCAGAGGAGGTTAATTGATGTCATGAAGCAGGACATGCAGAGGGTTGGTGTGACAGAGGAGGATAGTAGAGGGTGAGACGTGGGCACATGATCTGCTGTGGTAACCCCTACAGGGAGCAGCCAACAGAAGATAAAGAAAGTGTTTACAGAGGTCAAGTCAGATTTCTATAGGACCAGAAGTCCGTTTACAACCACAGCTATCGCTATGTGGTGGCCTTAAGATAGATGCAGGTTTGAGGCACTTTTATTTTCCAATCTTTTACAGCATCTATAGCTAGGTGTTAGGATGACATCAGTAACTTTCTACAGATCTCTAGGTGGTCGGGTCATACCTGTAGGTAGCAAGATTTTTTCTTTTTTGTTAAAATCAATTAGCAAAAAACTCACCTGTGTTAGCACTGTGATGGACTGGACACCTGTTCAGGGTGTACCTTGCCTATCATGAAGAAGTCATTCCAGCCATCAAAAATAAATAAACTAAATGCAGGAGGTGCATAGCATTCAAACTAAATGCAATGCAGTTGACACACAACTAGGGTTGCTACCTTTTTAACTATCAAGTAAGCGACAGTCTGGTGTGCCAGAAGCACAATGCACAGACAGGTGTGTATAGTGAAAATATGTATGTTCATTTTCTTACAATAAAAATCTAGTAAAATGTTAGTATTAAGTTTAATCAATACCTCATCTAAAACAATAAAGAAAGATAAATTAAGTGATGACAGAAATCCTATGGGCATTTCCTTTGAAAAATAAGCAAAAGAGAAAAAAAATATTCAAATAAAATACTGTAAATACAGGCTTCAAATACCCAGGTTAATATGCTGCGCAGACCAAACAGCACCGTCTTTTTACGAGTCATGTCTTAGTCCAGGACACAATCACTCGTCTGATATAATTGTGGTCAAATCAGATATTTGTAAGAGTGCAAATCTGTTGGTCAGAAAGTGACATTTCAAGTAATGGTCAATATATGGGACATTTAAGTTGGAATAAGAGACAAACAAATTTTGCTCATTATACAGGATGTCCCGGCTAAAACGGGACATTTAGCAGCCCTACACACACACACACAACTCAGTTCCCATTAACCGTAGCTGACGCTGACAACACTAAATAACACTGAGAAATTTTGAGAGGTGAGTAAAGCTCCCGTTTTGAAAACAGTTAAGTATTAAACACTTTTCATTAACATTAAACTGGCCGTCATACACTTTCATGCTACCCATATAACTATTAGCAGTTAAGTGTTAGCCACATTAGCGGTCTATTATCATGACGGTTTTGGCTAGCTGCTAAGGCTAACAATAACATAACTGTTAAAGTCGAGGCTAAGCTGTAACAGTCATTAGTGTGGCCCATCTGCAACATTAACAGAGTGGATTTAACAGTTATTTTGGTTCAGATGACGCTAGACTGATTCAGATTCTGTTCAGTAGACTGATTCA